CTTCCGTGCACCACCTACACCAATACCGCATAATTTTTTGAACGTACGTGGAAAAGTGATTTTATCAATTAATGAAAGAGATACCTACCTAGCAATCCCTCCCATCTCTAGGTGACAGGTCTTTTCATTTACCCTCAAAAATATAATTTTGTCCTAAAATCCATCAATACAGTCTTCTGATATCGTACCAAAAGCTCAGTTATGCACAGATGCTAGAAATACAGTTAAAGTGGAGGTATCCTTGAAATTAACATCTAAAATAGTATCTTCCAAGATTTCAGCATACCTTGTGATATATTTAGAATGCAGGTACGCAGTACTTTTTTATTTTCGGTATATTTCAGAATTTTTTTCCTCAGCCGATGGATATTGAGCCAAACATACATGATGCATTTGATTATTTTCGAATCGAAATTTCTACATCTATATAAGGGAGAGTCGTACAAGCAGGAACGCCGAAGCATTCCATTAATATTTACATTACTTTTTATTGACTTTAGGACCCTAAAATTGAATCCTTGTTTGCCAAATACGCATTTCCCTGGATTTGATATGGATAACTTTCCTGGAGAAAAACAGCACTACGTAGTATAAGGTGTATAATATAGTAGAAATGCATATGCAATGCACTTTTATTGTGGCTAAAAATAGTGAATGTGCCTATACAGACAAGTTAACGGTGCTCTACAGTGTGTTTCCAAAACATAGAGAAACATTCGAAGGATGATTCTTGAGACTATTCAAAAGGTAATTTGAACGCAACTACAAATCGGTTCTTATTCAACATTTGGCAGAACTTTAACAATCCAATAAAATTTTGACAGCATACTGACTATCTGAGCCTATATATAATGGTATCCTTGGTGATTCCTTTACTTTCCTTTGTAATTTTTGTCCTCTTCATGTAGTATTGAGAGTTCCTCCGGTTTTACCCTATGTCCTATTTCTCGTATATGTTCGCTTAGTCCAGATTTTGAGGTTTCTCCCTTTGTTATATATACTTAATGCTCCTTTATTCTACTATACCGGGCGTTTCAAATTCGACCCTCACCATTGGGATATCAGAATCTGTAAGAGATACGAAGTCACTTAAATATGGGCAAAGTTTCATATTTAAGCAGTTAACAACTTACCACTTAGAAAATTTCAAATCAAAGTACTTCCGAAGAGAGAGTGAAAAAAACCAATTCTCCCAAAATCTTATTAATCTTTCCCTGACCTTATTTGTAGTGGGATTTCAGAATGAATGCACATCAACATTTCCACTTCTTCTCCTCTGCAAGATATGTTATCCAATTAGAATTTCAATATGACGTTTCGTCTCCTGTCCACCAACATCAACTTTATCTTTTATTATGGACGCCATTTTGGATTTTTGCCCAGATAAATTGAGTTTTTAATTCTGATTCCAAAAATGTATACCTTGACATTTCCAAACTAGTTATTTCAAAAGAGCAGAATTTCTTAGGTGGGCCTTGAAAGTATCAATCACTTTTATTTTTTACTGAGATTATTTTAGAATTTTCAATTAGAGATTTCCGCTTTTGACTTCGATCACTAACCTTATTTTTTCATATGGAACTTTATTCATTTACATGGGCTTTTAAGTGCTAAATTCAGTGATGTATTTCTCTAATTGGCCATGAATTTGTCGTTGGATGAATAGTATAAGGATATAAAAAGCTATGGCAAAACCTGAACAAAAAATGGAAATTTTATTGATACATTGCCTTTCTTCTCAGTCTTCCAAACTCTGTTACTATGTTCAAGTTGAGATCTGGTCTGGTATGCAAAACAAATGTGTATTTTATAATTTCAAGGTCTGGCTAGCAACTTCTGTTTTTCTTGAATAACTAAGGTTTGGCAATGTCAATGTATGACATATGATGCATTTTTGGGGTCAGAATTCATCTGCGCAAAAATGCTGAGAACAAGCGACGAAGCTTCATATTTAATTCCAATTATGTCATCTTGGGAAGAGAAACTGTGGCAATGTTAATGTGAAATTTATTTTAAAATCCCACTACAAATAAGGTCAGGAAAAAATTAAGACCATTTTGGGAAAATTCATTTTCTTCTGTCTGTCTCCGGAAGTCGTTTGAATTTTGAAACTTTCAAAGCGAAGTCAATAAGTTCTATGAGTGCAAGAGAAGCTAGCCAAAAACGAAAACAATGGAAAATGATTAGTAACGTTTATAGGGAAAAGCGAGTTACATTACAAATAAATTTACAGAGAGTAGTTGGAGAAACACCCCCACCAAGTCCTGCACCATCTTTATAGCACAGAGCAGATAATTTATCGGCTCTCAATAGACGTAGAATGTGCAAGCGGCGAGCTATTCTGTACGCGAAGATTAAAAGCTTGGAAAATAAAATCAGGAACGCAGTCAAGCTTAGAGAAAAATACAAGAATCGGTGTTTGAGACTGAAAACCAAAAATACTGACCCAAACTCTCCAGCAACTCAAGTATCTTCGCTTTTAAAGAATATACAAGTTCCTGACGTTGTAAGAAAAAGACTCATTTTCGGAGAAGCACCTTCAACGGACCTCAAGGAGGAAGATCTTGGAAGTAAATATGGAGAAAATAAAAATAGTACAAAATGTTGACGCTGCAATTAGTACAAATCTCTATATAGATCGAAACATTTTTTCAAAAACGATACGTACAAAAAGAACTGTACTCGTAAAGTTAGCTCCAAAATGCTAAAAGTTAAGGGTGATGTTGTTCATGTCTTAGAGAAAGATGAAAATACGATGATGTGCCCACTAACTAAGCCCTCTAAAGTATCAAACAAATCTCCATACAACTATTAATAAATTAACTTATGTTTTTTATTGAAATTCAGCATCAAATCATTGTCACATCCTATCAGTCATTCCCTCATTTTAGTTCTTTAAGTCATTTTTCTACATGTTATACACAAAAATATGGAGGACCTTCATTTTCAATGAACCTTACTGAAGTAAAACTTTATATTTATCTAAAGAAAAGGATATATTTTCATTATTTTTTCTTACAAAAAGCAAAATTAACCCATATCATACCAATGATACAAAACTAGTAAAAGTCACTGTTTTTTTAATACACTTTATTAGTACATGCAAACGAAACGTTTACAGTTCTTCAATTTTTTTTTTTGGATACTGATCATCCAAAAAATGCGTGGTTCGATTGTGCACCGCTGGTACCAAAGACAAACTTTTAATAGTGCAAATATATTATATAGTACTTCAATCCCTTCAAAAATTGGAGATTCTTAGTGGAATTATTATATTTTATAATGGACATAGTTGAAAATTATCCAGTACATAGAACTTCCATGTTTTTTTGGTGTTGCGTTCACGCACCATTGGGACGTTGGCCGGCAGAAATATATTCATTTCTGATGATATTTGTCGAAGCAGGATACGTGTGAATGAACTTTACACCTTTTGCACATGTGCACTGTGTGACTATGACATTCTCTGCAACGTCTTCGTGCCTTATTCGGGTGACGAGTTACAGTATGGCCACAGTCATCAAACTGAACTTCAACAACTGGTTGCAAATTTCGAGGAATATGACGCCTGTCTGTCTTCATGAGACGAAGGGCTACGTAGGATTTGAAATCCAATTGGGAAATTTTGTTCTGATTTACGGAATTATAAAGTTTCCAGCAATTAACGATGATACTGTCGATTGAATTACAAAATATGGGCCACCACCATTTCTTTCCCATGACTCTAACTCTGTAGTTTGCAATGCCATTATCGTGAAGATCGACACCTCCCATACAGCGATTGTACCTAGCAATGACGTTTGGTTGCTGTACATGAATTTCTCTTTTTTCTTTCCTGTTGTATCGGCGGACTTGGTTTATAGGCTTATACATTGCTACAAATGGTAACTGTAGCATTATCATTCCAACGAACCATTGAAATTTTGTTATTTTTGTCATACGCGCAATCATACGCTCCTCGTTCTCGCTTGGACATGATTTTTGGTTCAACTAGCGGATAGTGTCCTGTTCGATTACTTCTTATAGTTCCTGTGGCATAAAGACCTTTGTTCTTCAGGTCAACTAGGAGTTGATATGAAGAAAAGAAGTTGTCAAAGAAAATATTATGTCTAGCAGGATAATCCACGTTGGCAAGTAAATTGTTGACGATTTCACCACCAAGTCCAAATGACGTCCTTTCTTTGTTAGCGATTGCTCCTGTATATGGAATAGAATAGAATAAATATCCATCTGACGAACATAAACACCACTGCTTGAATCCAAATCGAACTGGCTTGCCTTTTATAAACATTTTGCAAGAATGCCTACCGAAATAAGGAACCATCTGTTCGTCAATTGATAAATTGTGTGCAAATACGCCCCGCTGCATATTTTTTTTATTTACAGCATCTAAATATGGACGAAGCTTGGAAAATTTATCATCTTTATCTAAATTACTATTATCAGATAAATGTATGTTTCGCTTTATGGCTTGGAATCCATTCCGACTCATGCACTTTTTCACTATGTCTATCCCCTTGTCCTCCTCGTTTGACCAATAGAGCGGAACTTGCGGCAAGGTGTGATACCCAGAAAACTGCATAATGCCTAGGAAGTTCAGAAGTTCTCCTTTGGACAAGCAAAATCCATGTCTGTTGTTTTGTTGGGCGTATTTCGCAGAAAAATCTAAAATCAAATTTATCAAATCATCATCAAAGAAAAGAAAAAACATCTCTAATGGCGTTTTTCCAGCCAGTACATTCTTTAAATGCTCCATATCAATGTCTTCGTTGCTGATGGATGAATGAGTGTACTCCAGTGGACCCTTATCCCACTTTGGCTGGAGGGGCGGCACAGCAAAAGTTGTGGATGTGACTGGCACGGGGGGAGGAACCAGTCGCAATTTTTTTGACGCCAAAAACTCATCATCGGAAGTATCGAATCCATCATCGTCAAAAAAAATGGCTTCCTCTTTGTTTGGGATTTCAGCAGCATCATCTTCATTCATAAATGCGTGGAGTTCAAATTAATGTACCAGCAATGTCTGAAGGACCTGGTACATCAATTTCGGGTAGTAGCTCATCTTCTACATCCTCCTCGTCAGTTACATTGTCTACATCTGGAGGTATGTAAACAGCATCAAGAGCACCTACGCAAAAATAAAAGGGATGCAAATGAGGTTAGGTTAGGAGTTTTCGCACACAAACCTTTTCTGTAGTTGTACAGTTCTTGTCCAGCTTCTTCAACGGCAGTTTCACTTTGAGTCAGAAATCTTCGAAATGACATTCTTAAGATAGATGTGTGCACATATCTCGATGGTATGCACTAAATACAACTAAAACTCAACTAACGTAAACACCTGCAAATGCGTACTGCGTACGTCAAGTTCTCGCGCTAACTTGTCTGAACAGGAAAATACTTAACTGATAAAACCAATGGTGCACAAACGCACCAACAAAGTTTCCTCTTCTATAACTTCAATTATAAGATCGAAGCCAAACTTTTGACAAACAACATACAGACCACATAAGTTTCGTTTCCACTATTTACAGGTAATTATAGGGAAAAATGAGTCTAAACCATAATTCATTGAATTTTAGACATGTTTTACAAAACCAAATATAATATTCATGTCAAAAACCACCGCCATTTTTTTCCCTTTGCTGTCAAGGTCAAAAACAAATTAAATTTGGATACAGTAGCAACAGATTATCTCAAACTACACGTATTAAGCAGTTAGAACAAGGAACTATCCGGGAAAAAAATCATAAAATTGGCGGTGCGTAAGCGCACCACTGGGACCAAATGGGTTAAATTTCTCAATTTGTTGAGAAATACCCAGGGTAGTTAAAAAAATACAAAGCCTTTGAAGGTAAAAACAAAATATTTCGTCGACCCGTATAGCGTCTGGTCGATACATTGCTATGAAAAGTTCATATCACATACGAAATTGAGACGTCATTAATACCAGTTGACGTGTAGCAATCTTGGAGTGACAAAACGTTCTCTACTGTGTATCAAAGCTAGAGCAGGCAGTAGTAGCATTATAATGAATGCAAATGACCTCTGCAGACATGCAACTGGCCGATGAAAAATGGTGGTCATTTTACAAGGGGCCTTATCGTACAAGCCATTTGAATTAATAAAAAAAGTTTAATTTGGATAATAACCCTCCATTACTTCCTCGGCGGTTTGTGTGAGAATTCGTGTTTCTAGTTATGACGTCAATTCTTTCTATTCAGTTGCAAAACTTCGTTGTGCTAAAATTAAACCGACGGTAATGAACTGATTTAAGGGGAGAAATAGTCGGTGTCTTCTCCAAAATATCAAAGGGAACATTAGATTTATATTGTAGATAATTTCATATACTCAGTCAAAGAACATATACTGCATTTTTGAACAGAAAAGTGGCGTCGAGTAGATTGACTCTATATGACACGGTATGTGACTATCTCAAACCAAAATAACCAAACTACCATATATGTCGATTTCAATGTCAAATGCTGCAAAATATGTGATGCTAGCATGTAAAATGGGTATCAGAAGCTTCTTGATTGTAAAACGTCTTTCACTGATGCCAAATATACAACGTTTACAATCTCCACCACATAGTCGTTTTTCGTCTTTTTGCCCGTAGCTGGATCAATTTTCAAACCCACAAACCGTTATCGTCCTTAGCATAGTGTCACCCTTTGTTAAGATCTGAGCAACACCTTCTAAGTGAAATGGGCGAAACGGCAGACAGATACACATAGAGACCGTCTGAAATGTGTCAGTTTTAAAAGATGTGCAAATTCGTTTTCAGTGGGTCTCGATCTACAACCATGGTAACTAGTCTATTCTGTTGAACGATGCATTATGTGGGTCGTTCCTCACGAAGGTGTTCAATTTGGACCATTGAAGGTCTATCTGCCTGTACTCGATCTATGAAAATTATTTGATCGCAATATATTTATACATCCCGGTAATTTTACGCACCTATTAGCCATATTCCGCACATCATAGATTTCCTCATACTTTATTTTTTGAAATTTAGAATGATAGGGAAATGTTTCCGATTTGCGTACTCCCGATATCCAAGCTCACCGACCGGCGGGCAAGTCCGGCTGATTTGCCTATCTGTTCTGTAGCCCAAAAAACATATATACGGACCATGCGCGAAATGAACAATTACTCAGTGGAATTAAATTGCGCTGAAATTATTCTTTTGAGAACTGGTGCAGGTGCAGGGTCAACCTACTTGACGTCATTTTTTATTTTAGTACTAGACAGCTATTCAGTAGTCGGCATTTTTGTCAAAAATTTACTCATTTGCTTATATTAGTATACATATAACGATTCCTATTTCATATACAGGGTGATTCTCACATCGTGACCAAAAATGGAACATCATACACAGGACCGCATTTAACATTTTTTCCTCGAGGGCGTCATTAAAATGATACGGGTTCAAGTTTAAAAATAAAAAACAATTTTTTTTAATATCTTCAAAACCGTCAACTGCAACGAACTGTAATTTTTAGTATGTGGATTTAGCTATTGTCCAGATTCAAAAATCTTCACTTACAATTAACGTGTACAAGTGGCGGAGATACAGGAGATTTGTGGCATTATTTTTCCAAATAAAAATAGTACGCCACTGTTTTTTAAATCGAAATTTCACCTTCAATTTGCTACAAACAATTACTCTTATGTTTTTCATAGAGTGCATTGTTTTCGTAAAAATAAAAAAAAATTAGATAATCAAAGCTTTAGTTCAATAAATGTTCAAAAAGCGGTTACATGTGCGGCATCTTTTTAATAAAGAAAACCGTATTTCCGCAAAATTTGTTGTGGCTTGAATTTGATGAAACGCATCATCTATTCTTTCTTGTAACTGATCAACAGTATTAATTTATTCAGCAAACATTGGTTATTTAAAGGCGTTCCACAAAAGGAAGTCCAGGGAGTATAAATCAGAAGACCTCGCAGACCAATGTAAGGGTCCGTTTCTGCCAATCCATCGTTGTCTAAGATGATTACACTGGACAACAAATTTTAGTTTTTTAATTCTATCTTGTGCGAAACGTGCACTTCTTTGTTAATTTTGGGGCGCTGAATCCAAAAATGTCAATGAAATAAAAAAGTTAGTTGCGGTTTAGAAAAAAAACTTTTTATTTTTAAGGATATATTAAAAAAAGTAACAAGATTCATATACTTATAAGAATCACTATATGCGCTGTCTTTTTGCTGTTCTTTTATGGAACGTTTCTGGAGCATCTCTACCAAGAGTCCAACAGTAGTCTGCAAGCATGGAAGGATTCCACTTTCCCTGGTACCTTTTTTCCATTGTTGAAATATCCTGATGAAAACGTTCGCCGTGCTCATCACTTGCGGCTCCACAATTGTCAGGTGTGAGTGTGTGTATTACAGCCCATCTTTTGATACGATGACAGCATATTTTTGACAAGGGTTTTATAGTTGTCAGCTTTTCTATTTCCCAAGAAATTAGTGACCACCAGACGGAAATCATGCCAAGCAGTTTTTTCAATACCTGTTAAAGTGTTTTCAAACTGTGTATCTTTCAAAATATTTCGAATCTGTGGCCCCTACAAAAATACCTTCTTTAACCTTTGCCTCACTTAGTCTTGGAAATTTCTGACGCAGGTATTGAAAAGCTGATCCATCTCTATCTAATGCCTTGACAAAGTTTTTCATTAGGCCCAACTTTATATGCAGTGGTGGTAATAAATTTTTTTTCGAATCTACTAATGGCATACGCTGTACATTTTTTTGACCTGGCTCTAAGAATTCACGAACAGGCCAGTTTTGTCTGGTGTAATGAAGTGCCTTTGCCCGACTGTCCCATTCACACAAAAAACAGCAAAACTAGCTAGCTGCAGCCCAACTAAAAGTGCAACTACTTTCAAATCGCCACAAATATGCCATTGGTGCTCATCGTATTTTATGCATGTCAATAGGTACTTCATATTATCATATGATTCTTTCATGTGAACTGCATACCCTACAGGAAGAGATGGTAAAATATTTCCAATATGCAATAACACTGCCTTTAAACTCAATGTTGAACTGTCTATAAACAATCTCCATTCTTCTGGGTTATAGTTTATATTTAAAGCCGCCAGTACGCCGTTAATGTTACTGCAGAAAACCAAGTTATTCTCCATATTGAAAAATGGTTATAAGTCTTTGTGGCGTTTACGAAAAACACATACCGAGACATCGTCTTCTAACAAGTTCCACTGCTGCAGTCTTGATCCATGTAACTCTGCCTTACATTTTGGAAGTTCTAAATCTCTTACAATATCATTTAATTCTGACTGTGTTATTTTGTGCGGTTGGTGGCATGACGTGCTCGGTATAAAATCAGGATCTCTTGACGTTGATGGCATATTTTCTTCCTGACGAATCACTTGATCGCCATGATCTGATTCGTTTTCTGATACGTTCTTACAGAACGGGGATTTTCTAACAACCAAATAAGTTCATTATGAGAATTAAAGGTCTCACTCTTCGTAAAAAGCGATTCGTCTGACCACAAAACGAAATCAATAAAATCTGCATTTTGATTATATATATGCAGCAACCGCTCACAAAAATTTCGCTGTTGCACTTCGTCGCCGGTTTGCAGACATTGCACATTTTGTCAATGGTAAGGATGTAAAACTTCCCGATGAAAATTCTCCACGCAAGACTTTGGGAAGATGATAACTGCAATCCGCCTAGTACTTGTACTAGGATTATCCATCGCCAGTTCCTGTTGAACAGTATGCCGGACACCAAGCGTTACCCTAATATTACAACGTTGCATGCAGCATTGTTCCTATTTTGAGATATATCGATTTTAAAATAATGCTTTATTTAAGCCTTAACATAGATATAGGAATGATTTCAATTTAAAAGTGATGTTGATAGAGGTCAATTTATGAGTCCTTAGCGTATCGAAAAATTTATTTAATAAAAAAACATGGAACTTTGGTACTCTTAAGGTCAACAATTTTTCTTAACTGCGTAACATAGAATTTTGGCACTTAAAATGGTGCTACATGTTAGACTTTATTTGTTCCTAAAAATAGACTCGTAGTATTGTCTACCCATCTCAGAAATCCACTTGTACTTCGATCTAATAGTATCCACTTTTGCTTGAGGTAGTTCAACACTGCTGTCACATTTTTTAAGTTTCAGCCGTAACGTGTTGTGTTCTTCGTAGTATTCGCTGGTGCAGACTTACGATTAAAATAATCTTTATATTTCAGCTCGAAAAGGTTTGTTGAAAACTGTAAACATACGTCTTTCGAAAATGGGACCAAATTATAGTTTAATTGACTTGAATAATGCTGAAGTCTATGAAGTCATCTTTCTTCATCCGAAATATTGTATAAGGTTCCTGTCGGTTTACTGCCAATAAAAAGCGAATAAGTGAGACTGGAGGAATAATATTCCACTTTGCTTAACGATTTTTTCTATGCAGCTTGAATGCAAGAGTGCCCCGGAACTGAAAATTTCATTGTATTGTTGTAAATTTTTGTGGGTTTGAAT